GGCCCCTCCTCCTTCTCTCCGTCCCCTGGGACAGTGACCATAGTTGAGCTGCTTCTGTATCCAGATGGTTTTCAAACATCTACAAGAATGCAGATAACTGGAAACACCTATCATCCATAAATTATTTCTACGAACTTAATGGAGATCAGGTTATATACACGGTTCCCTACCTTGCTTTTTTTCATCTAGTAATATGTGTGAGTAGCTGACTGTGAGGGTTCAGGTTTGATGGCAACTTGGTTGGGTCAGGATTCTCAGTGGCTTGGCAATTAAGACATTGGAATCTTCCCAGGATGAGATCTCCTTGAGGGCGTGGCCTGCTTCCCATATAAGTGGACACTGTGGGAAAGCTCGCTTGTTTTCTGCTAGGTCTAAATCTGCTGACCTTGGATTCCTTCACCTCTACAGTCAGAAGCCTGCAGTCTGTCCTGCCTGTCTTGGGTTCATAAGCCCTTTCAGTTATGTGAGTCAGGAGAAGCCACCAGCCTGACATCTGAAGCACAGATTTGGAACTTGCCTGCTTCTATAATTTTATGAGCCGTTTCCGTGATACAAGCCTCTCTGGATATAGGCACATATAGGCTTCACTGGTTTTGTTTCCTATCAGTTCATGATCTAAAGGTCCCTTATCTTTATCTTTCCCCCCCCATGTCCTCATGGTATTCCAGTGAGTGGTTGTGGCATAATTGAATGAGATATGGATGGGTGGATAGTTAGGATGCTAGAGGCTGGGAAAAGAAGTTAACGTAGGGAGAAAAAAAAAAAAGAAGTTAACTTAGGGAGCAGGAGATGTTGAACCCATACTCACTCCTTAAAAAACAACACCCCCACCCTCACTGCTATCCAGTCCATTTCTACTCACAGGGACCCGATAAGGGCAGGGTGGAACCATTGTAGAGTCGAATTGCTCCATCGGGTTTCTGAGGCTGTAACTCCCCCCAGAAACAGGCTCCTCATCTTTCTCCGGAGAGGCGGCTGAAGGGCTCACACGGTCAGCTTCTCAGCTCACCACCCAACATTTAACTCACCGGGCGTCTGACTCGTGTGTTGTTGTTAGGCCCATCAGGTGGGCTCTGACTCACAGCAGAAGGAAGCGCTGAACGGCCCTGCGGCATCCTCACCACTGTTCCCGAGCCTGAGCTCAGGGATGCAGCCACTGGGCCAATCCCTCTCGTCCAGGGCCTTCCTCTACTCGCCACCCCTCCACCTGACCAAACACGACAGACAAAGTCTTGCCATCCTTGCCTCTAAGGAGCACTCTGGCTGCACTTCTTGCGATACAGATTGGTTTGTCCTGTTCACGGTCCATGGGCGTTTCCGTGTTCTTCTCCTGTACCACAATCCCAAAGCATCGATTCTTCCACGGTCTTCCTTTGTCAGTGTCCAACTTCCACAGGCACATGAGGCAACGGAGAATAGCACGCTGGGTCAGGCACACCTTCATCCTCAAGTAACATCCTCACTCTGCAACACTCTAAAGAGGTCTTGTGCAACAGATTCACCTAATGCGAGATGTCTTTTGATCTCTTGGCTGCTGCTTCCATGAGCATTGATTGTGGATCCAAGTAAGACAAAACCCTTGACGACTTCAACCTCCATTTATCATGATGCTCCCTATTGGTCCACCTATTGAGGACTTGGGTCGTCCTTACATTGAATTCCAAGCCACACTGAAGGCTGCAGTCTCCGATCTTCATCAGCAAGTCTCCGATCTTCCCCTTCTCCTCACTTTCAGCAAGCAAGCTGTGTCCTCTGCATACCACAGGTTGATCAGCCTTCCTCCAACCCTGAAGCTGCACTCTTCTTCAAAAAACCCAGCTTCTCTGACGATTTGCTCAGCAAATTGATTGAACAAGTATGGTGAGAGGATAAAAGCCTGACACACACCTTTCTTGATTTTAAACCATGCAGTATTCCTTGTTCTGTTCACCCAACTGCCTCTTGATCCAGGGACAGGTTCCACAGGAGCACAATGAAGTGCTCCAGAATGTCCATTCTTCCCAAGGTGATCCACACTCTGTTACTGGCCACGCCATCGAATGCCTCTGCATAGTCTACGAAACACAAGCAAACATCTTTCTGGTCTTCTCTGCTTTGAGCCATGATCCATCTGACATCAGCAGTGATACCCCTTGTTCCACATCCTCTTCTGAATCCAGCCTGAGCCTCTGACAGCTCCCTGCCAACGTACTGCTGTATTTGTTGTTGGATGATCCTTTGTTGTTGTTCTTGTTGGATGATCTTAAGGGGGGCGGGGAATTTACTTGTGGGATATGAAGGATATCACTCGATTCTTTGAGCATTCTGTTGGGTCACCTTTTTTTGGAATGGGCACAAATAAGTTTCTCTTCCAGTCAGTTGGTCGGGTAGCTGCCTCCCACATCTCCTGGCACAGACTAAAGCTTCCAGAGCTTCATCAGCTTGCTGAAACATTTCACCGGGTGTTGGGCTAAGGCCTTCAGTGCAGCTTGAGTTCTTCCACAGCACCACTGGTTCTTGCTCATCTGCTACCACCAACGGTGGGCGGTTGACCAGTTCTTCGTGCTGCAGTGACTCTGTCTTCTTGCTCTCTTCTCTTGATGCTCCCTGCATCATTCAATATATTTATTTTTTTTGCTTTTTTTTTTTAAGAACTCATTCAATATTTTGCCTGTAGAATCTTTTCTTAAGTTAAAATAAATTCCAGAAATCTCAACAATTTCAATGCAAAAGTCAGACCATCAACATACCAGAATAAACATGAGAACAGTCCTTGCTTACAGTTGCAACCAACTTTTATCACTCTTTTTACTGATTATCTCATGACACACTTGTTACTCATTTATAAACATGGACAGTAACAAATGAAAGTCCCCCTTAATTTCACCACATAGAGAAAATCACCTTTAACGTCTTATTGTCTATCCTTCCCAACTTCAAGGTGTCTATGTGCATATGCACTAACCAGCCAAACTCACTAGTCGATTCGACTCTGAGGACCCTGCAGAGTAGAATTGCCCCTGTGAGTTTCTGAGAGTGTAATTCTACAGGAGTAGAAAGCCCAATCTTTCTCCTGCAGAGTGGCTGATGGTTTCAAACTGCTGACTTTGCAGTTAGCAGCCCAATGCACTATGCAACCAGGGCTCCTGGCGGCACACACACAAACACGTTTGTTTCTTCAAGCCTGATTTAAATGTTGACATGCAATAAGAGAGAAGTCCAGCAGGTGGAGCCATAAGACTGCTTTATCGGACAGACACTGGCGTTCTAGTTGTTGCCGGAGCTCTGCTGGGCTTCACCAGGTGTCCAAGATTGAGGATGCTGAGAGATGAAGGTGCTTGAGCAGAGCCCTCCATATGCTGGGATATCCTTCAGGGTCAACAAGCCCTTCAGACTTTTGCTTTTTTGTGAGCTTAGCCAAGCTTTCCTATTGTAGGAGGGAGTCCCAATTTCTCAGAGCTTTTTTCTTATTTGTGGCACCTAAGCCAAGAGCAAGAAGAGCCCTGAGACTCCTACCTGGTGTTCCTTATAGCCTGGCCGTCTTTCCACCTCTACACCGACAGGCTCTGGTGTCTTCATGCTGTCCCTTTAAGAGATTTCCCCCACAGTGCTTTCATGGGATTTTCTGGATATATTTCATTTTAAAATGATATCTTTTCAAGCAACCCAAATAAGTGTGTGCTCCTTTACCGCCCTCCTGGGACTTTAGGACACCTCTGGAAGCGGCAGTGAGAACCACAAATCAAAGAGGACCGGCCCTCTCACACCCTCCCTTCTTCCCTGCCTTCTGTCTGTCCACTCACACTGTAAGCAGCGCTTACTGGCACCCTGAGACTTTTAGACCCTTCCAAAGAGGAGGTGCCAGGGCCAGGTGGCAGTGATGTCAAAGAGAGACGCGCGCGTGTGTCCACTGAAGCCACACTAGACTGCACTGCGTGCCGGAGAGGTCCCAGTGCTGAGGTCCCTGTGTGCCCCATGCCTGCTCAGTCTGCAGGTCACTCCCCTGGAACCATCAACCCTCGCTGAGAAGCAACTCCGACTCATGACCCACCCCCCAGCGGGCCAGGAGCAGATCACTAGGGATTTCTTGCCAGGGGGCTCAGGGTGAGCTCAGCCCGCCAACCTTTGGTTAGCAGGGGAGCCCGCAGCCACGGAAGGATTCCGTACTTACAACCCCACCAGTCCAAACGGTTGCTCTCCATTCCAGCTGATCCGGACCCCAGTCGTTTAGGGGGTCGTGGTGATGGCCAAATATGACAGTTTGCGAACATGTTTTGTTTTGCTTTGTTTTAAAAACAGTACACCACGATACACCACAGATTACGGTAAGTTTGTATGTCCGTAGACTCCAACTTTTCAGGAAGTTAAAAAATGAGAACTTGCGCGGGCCGAGGATGAAGGAGACCTGGCGGCGGCGTGGGTTATGCGTTGGGCTGCGAGCTGCAAGGTCGGCAGCTCGACCCCACCAGCCGCGCCTCTCGAGACACGCGAGGCTCTCTGTTCCCGTCAAGATGCACCGGTGGTGCAGTTCCACTCTGTGGACAGAGGGTCGCCACGAGCCTACATTTCCATCACTCTGTGTTTCCATCGTCCTGTCTGTCACGGCTTCTTTCTTCCACACAGACGGAGCACAGAGCGGGGATGGCGGTGGGACTCCGCCGGTGCCCACCTGGCTGGCAGAACCAGCGCACCAGTTGTTAACATGGCACCTATAATCAGGGTTCTCTCTCAGCCACCCGATGTGGACATCACAAATTCACATTCCTTATTCGTTGTTGTTGTTGTTTTCCTTACTCGTTTTTAACATTGATCTGTGTATGCCAAGCGCCCGGAGTGATGTTCATTCGATCCATAGGGATAAGACATGAGATGAAAACATAAAATAAAACATTAGACAGAACTATGCTTGTAAGATTCATTTATTCATTTCATACAACTCGCTATCCTTTGATGAACGATTATACTTTATTCCCTGTACCTGTTACCTCAGTAAACCAACATAACATAAAGAGACAGAGTTCCAATCTCCTCGGCCTTTGGGCTAAGATCAGATGTAGTATCTGTTGTTATCAGGGTAATATCTGATCCCTCCTCTATCTGAGGACAGTATATTAAGTGGATTTTTGGACTTAGGAGGTGGAATAGGAGCTTGCTCCGTCCACTCCACGCATCGACCTGGTATTGCAGTACCTCCAGGAACGGTGCACTCCCTTCGGGGAGAAATAATGAAAAAGAGAGAGAGAGAGTGCCAAACACACAGAGGGTGGCACCAGGCTGTTCATTTGAGCGCTGTCCACGTCTGAAACTCCCACGAGATACTGTGGATGAATGATGAGATTCCTGAAGGTGTGCAAAGAGCTAAAGATATTGTCAGCACAACTGCTGTAAAGGGGTTTTCCAGAGATGAACACCATATGTTCAGAGGAGAGACACAGCCTAACCGCTTCTAATCTAGCAAACACGATGAGTGTGGTCTCACTGGCCTGCCTCTAAAGGAGGGGTCCTTCTCCCACAGCGAGAGGATGGAGAAGGAGAAATCACCCAGCCAATGAGGCATGCATAAAAGCGGAGAATGGGGAGACAGTGATCAGCGTAAGATATGAAACTAATAATAATTTATAATTTATCAAGGGGTCACGAGGGTGGGGGTGGGGAGGAAATAAAGAGGAGCCGATACCAAGGGCTCAAGTAGAAAGAAAACATTTTGAAAACAATGATGGCAACATATGTACAAATGTGCTTGACACAATGGATGGATTGTGATAAGAGCTGTAAGAGCCCACCTTGGCCCCCATACCAGCTAGTGGACAACCCTCCCTCCCCACAGAAGAATTTACTTTAGAGGACGGCACTGAAGCTGCAGCTAGGGGAGAGGGGCATGTCTGATGAGAGCAAATGAAGGGGGAGAAAGAGAGAGTGGAGCACAACCTGGCCCACCAGGCCTGGAAGATGATATCCCTGCTCCTAACAGCCAATGCACAGAGTGGACCATACGGCTGATTCCGCTATAAGACACAACGTCCCTCACTGACCCATAGCCCTATAGGGGCAACACTGGAGACTCAGTAGCAGGATTGGCCTGGACTGACCCTGCGACACCTAGGCAAAACACTAAAGGTGTGGGGCAGAGCAACAGGGGGTGCAGAGCAGGGAGCTCCCAAGGGAGTACAAAGGATAGACTTGGGGGCCAGAGCATGTCACTCCATCGGACTTGACTGGAGGCCATGCCTAGAGGTCAAAAATCAGACCTTGATCTATTTACAGGTTTTTCTTCTTAAAATTTTTAAAATTAATGTATTCTTTTATGGGTCATTGGTTTTCTTTTTTGTTGTCATTGCTGTTCTCTTTTGTCGCTTTGTCTTGCTAGGCCTTGTTTTTTGGTGCATATTCTTATCTCTGCAGATCTATCTAGATAAGACAGGCTGGATGAACAGTCTGGAAGAGAAAACAATGGGACCAACCGATGGTTCCTGGGAGACATGGGAGAAGGGGAGGTGGGGGTAAGGAGGTGGTGTTGACCAACCCAGGGACAAGGGATCAACAAGTGATCCAAAATTAGTGTCAAGGAGAGTATGAGAGGCCTGGTAAGGGCAATGTCATTGAGAGAAATTACTGAAACCCAAATGAAGGCTGAGCATGATAGTAGGACAAGAGGAAAGTAAAAGGAAATAGAGGAAAGAACTAGGAGGTAAA